TTCTTTTTTTTTTTTTTTAGAGAGAGAGAGAATTTTAATATTTATTTTTTAGTTTTCAGCGGACACAACATCTTTGTTTGTATGTGGTGCTGAGGATCGAACCCGGGCCACACGCATGCCAGGCGAGTGCGCTACCGCTTGAGCCACATCCCCAGCCCCAGAAAGTAATTTCAAGAAGGGTACAGAGACAAGCAAAGCTGACCAGACGGGTCCGGCTTCTAACAAAGAAAGGAGCCTATGTTTGCTTTATTTTTAACAGAAGACATCAAAGAAATTCTATGGAAAGTTCTTCACCAAAACAGGATAGAGATGGGGGCAGGTAGGCTGCTCCATTCCTAGCAGAGTCATGCCCATCTCCAGTGCTGCGTGGGACCTTCTGGCAGAGCAGAGGGGAAGTTCACTTGCATCAGGCAGTCTATCCTGGTGGCACTGCCACAAGAAGTTCCCAGTGCCAGTCTACCCACTCCTTGGCTACGATGCTGAAAAGGTCCTCATGTATTTCACAGATGGCTTCCCCGCATATTCCCTCTTTTTACTTTGTAAATGTAAATGATGAGCTGTTAGTTCAAGCTCCCACATTTTTGTTCTAAGGGTACGACAACCTATTGATACAAAAGAGAATTAGTAGCAAACATATCATACCAATAACATACCATACAGAATGTTTCAGCGTATTTCCAGGATTAAAGCCATTCAATTCTTGAAGTATTTGGTCAGCTAGAAGGTAGGGTTCGTAAGATTGATTTTGCTTTTTTAAATATCCTGGATGTGACAATGTAACTCCATAGATCCAGGCTACTATTATTGCTATGCCAAATACCCATTAGATGATTTTTAACCTTTCCATAATCCCATTGGGAAGTATTATATTTGGCCACAATAATAAGAGACATATTTATAGTCAGCGTGGCATTTAAGCCTTTTCTTAAAGCAGAAAGCTCATTACCAATATTTATGACAGTAGCTTCCAAGGCATTCAAATTAGTTTCAATCTTTTCATCAATATTTATCTGATTGGGGCTGGGGTTGTAGATCAGCAGTAGAGTACTCTTGCCTAGCACGTGTGAGGCCCTGGGTTCAATCCTCAGCATCACATAAAAATACATTAAAAAAAAAAAAAAAAAAGGTACAATACCTTTTTGTCCAACTACAACTAAAAAATAAATATTAACAAAATTTATCTGATTATGGAGGGCTTTGGGAGTATTTTGAGCCAAATTATTAAGAAAATTTGCATGTTGAATGTTTTGAGATACAGCCACTGAGGCTATTACAGTAGAAGTGATGAATGAAATTAAAGCAGCCCCTCCAAGAATTATGAAACCAAGAGTGCACTTGGGTCTGGTTAACTGAGCATGTATCTGTTGTAAGATCTGAACACCAGCATCAGCATACCATGGGTCTGAAATGTTGGCTGTAGTAAGACAAAGGAGGATTGGTGAAGCATTAACATTCTTCTCCCTCTGTTAAATCTAATGATGCAGTTAGTTAGATTGTACCTTTTATAGGCTATAAGATATTTATCACCTTTTTTCTTAACTCTTACATTTCTAGTAACTAAAACATACGGAGATTGAACACAGGCTCATAGGCCATAGCAGGAACCCTTTTTGCAATTCCTGCTATCTGTATAATGTAGAAAGTCTGAGGCTACAATTAAGCACCAGAGAGCTTTTCAAATACCACCCTTGCCAAAGGTTAGAATATTACCAATGAAACCTCCAGGGGTCATGGCATCCTTACATAATTGTCTTTTTATCAATTCTTGGAGTCCAGTCCAAAATATATCCACTATTTCTAGAAACTTGTACTGGCAAGACTTTTGCACATTCCATCCATTTAGGAAAGGTACCAAACAAATTCTATTACAGAACAATTAGGACAGTAAGGTATTGGTGGACGTTCTGCAGAGATGACTGGCTTGTTAGGAGAAAATCCCATTTTAATAACTGTTAGACATATGTCCTTGAGTCACAGGGGTAGGTAGATTGACTGGTCTAGCCACCCCTCCCCGCATATGCTGTCTTTTCCTCAAAAGATACCCTTAAACAGCCAGCATGTTTTATCATGGAACCAACATATAAGTAGTTGTCCACGGTAACTAGTATAATTAAATCCAGTCACATGGATGGGTGTAATATGAGTGTCTGTAAAGCCACCCAGCATATGAGTATCATTCGTAAATACTGGGATGGATTCTGCAGTTCACATAGCTGGGTGTACTAAAGGTGGATCTGGAAAATATGTCCAGTAGCCTTCTCCATGGACCCCACTAACCTGACAGCTCAATAGAGCCATCGTAGCCACAAACTTTATAGCTGGAGACTTAGTTTCTCCTTGTTGTTGAACCATCTTTTCAGCCTGTTGCATCATATTCTTCAGTTGTTTCCATGATGGCAATTTGGACATTCGGTTTCTCTGGGCCTTTTCTGTCCTTTTCACTCCTTACTAGCTTCCTCTTCCTCTTGGGGGGTCAGGGCTGACATCTCTGAATGGATCTTTAGTCGTTTGAAACTTGAACATAATTTGTGGACCCAAGAAAGAGGAGAGAAGGGAAAGGGGTAACAAGAACATCTGAAAATATAATGGTCAGAATGTCCCAAATTTGATGAAAGATATAAATCTACATGTCCAAGAAGCTCAACAGACCCAGTAGGATAAACTGAAAGATCCACACCAAGTCTTGTTTTAATTAAATTGTTCAAAGACAACAATGTAACAAGAAAAAAGAGACTCCTCCAGTACAAGGGATCTCAATCAGTAAGGTTAATATCTGATTTTTCTTCAGAATTCATGGAGGTCAAAATGCAGTGGGATGAAATATTAAAGTGCTTAGAGATTCAACCAAGAATTTTAAATGTGGCAAAAATTATCTTTCAAACTAAAAGAGAAACTAAGACATTCCCAAATAGACAACAGCTTGAGGTGGTTTGTTATGGTCCTAAAGGTTAAATGAAAGGACAGTAGACAGACTCCAAGACATACAAGAAATAAAGACCTCAAATAAAGGTAATTACATACAAGCAAGTATAAAAATTAGTATTATTGTATTTTTGGTTTGTGAATACACCTTTTTATTTCCCACATGATTTAAAGAACAAGTGCATAAAAAGTAACAAGTCTGGGGCTGGGGTTGTGGCTCAGTGGTAGAGCACTTGCCTATGGTCTGTGAGGCACTGGGTTCCATTCTCAGCATCACAGATAAATAAATGAAGGTCCATCAACAACTGGTAAAATATTAAAAAAAAAAAAAAAAAGTAACAAGTCTGAGGTTTGGTTTGCTTTTTAGGGGCTGGAAATTGAACTCAGGGCTTCACACATTCTAAGAATGCATTCTACCACTGGTCTGCACCTCCAGGCCGATCAGCCTATAAAATATTTTGAGCCTATAATGAATAATTTTTGTTTGTACTAGGGATTGAACCCAGGGTCACTCAACCAGTGAGCCCCATCCCCAGTTCTTTTTTGTATTTTTTAAATTTAGAGACAGGGTCTCAATAAGTTGGTGAGGCTGGCTGTGAACTCACAGTCTTCCTGCCTAAGCCTCCCTAGCCACTGGCATGACAGGCATGCACCACTACACCTCGCCTAAAGTAATTTTTGATGACTAAAAATTATAAGAGCTATATAGGAGCAGAATTTTTGTGTGCTATTGAAGCTAAGTTGGTATCACTTGTTTTAGGATGTTCATGTAAACACTAAGAAAATATCTGGCAAATGTATACAGAAGGAATTAAAGAGAAAATTACTTTTGCAAAAAATTAACTGAACCCAAAAGTAGGCAGCAATAGAGGAATTAAGGGATGCAATGTAAAAGATGTACCAAAAATAAATAGCAAAGCCAGGCAAGGTGACACACACCTGTAATCCCAGAGGCTCAGAAAGTTGAGGCAAGAGGATTTCAAGTTCAAAGCCAGCCTCAGCAACTTAATGAGGCCCTGTCTCAAAATAAAAAAGGGCTAGGAATGTGGCTGAGTGGTTAAGTATACCTGGTTTCAATCCCTGGTATCAACAACAACAAGTAGCAAAATGTCCTTCCTTTTTACTAACCACTTTAAATGTAAATGGATTAAACTTCCCAGTCAGAAGGCAGGTATTGACAAAAATGAATAGAAAAGCACAGTCCAACTGTATGCTGTCTACAGAAGGCTTACTTTAGATTCAAAGATATAAGCTTAAAGTGAAGTGAGATGTGAAAAAGATGTTCCATGTAAATCATAACCCAAAGAGAACTGGGATGACTATGCTAATATCAGACAAAACAAACTAAGTCAAAATTTCTTACCAGAAAGGAAGGAGGTCATTATATGGAGACCTCAGTACCCTTATCCCAAAGTATAGCTAGAACATCTAGACAGAATATCATTAAGGAAAGAGGGGACTTGAGCGACACTGTAAAATAATTGGACTTGAATGCTTCTGTCCTTCTGAAATTCATTTCTGTTATGAATCCCTAATGTATTGATATTAAAATGAGGATATGGGGAGATGATTAGGATCTACATCTACAACTAAAAAAAAAGAAATTTTTTTAAAGGAAGAAAAATATCTAATCAGTAACCTAACTTTACATCTTGAGAAACTACAAAAAGAAGAGCAAACTAAACTCAAAGCTCCAGAAGGAAGCAAATAATAAAGATTAGATCAAAGATGAGTAAAATAGAAAAACCATAGAATCAACACAGGCAAAAATTCTTGAAAAGATTAGCACAAGTGGTAAAACCCTTAGATTTACAAAGGACAAAAGATGATGTGACTGATGGGCTGAGGTTGTGGCTCAGTGGTAAAGTGCTCGCCTAGCATGTGTGAGGCACGGGGTTCGATCCTCAGCACCACAAAGAGATGAAGTGAAGATATTGTGTCCACGTAAAACTAAAATAAATAAAAGATGATGTGACTGAAAGCAGGAATATTATTACCAACCTTACCAAAAAAGGAAGATATAATACCGTGAATGGTTTTGTACCAACAGGTTAGATAGGCTGTAAGAAAGCAAAAAATTTATAGAAACACAAAAATTATGAAAATTGACTCTATCTAAACATACCAGTAACAAACAACAAGTTTGAATTAGTAATTAAAACTCCCAGCAAAGAAAAGTTAAGAATTAAACTACCTTCACTGCTAGCATTTAATGAATACCCAACTTTCTCAATTCTTTCAGCATATTGAAGAGGAGGGAACATTAATTTATTCTGTGAGGCCAGCAATAAATACCCTGATACCCAAGCCAAACAAAGAGCCTATAAAAAAAGAAAATTACAAACCTGTATCACTTATGGCTAAAGATGCAAATCTCTGAAAAGCATAATATCAAACTAAATACAGGAACATCTTAAAAGTATTCTATCCTATGACCACATGGGGTTTAGCCCAGGAGTAGAAGAGTATTTCAGCTCCAAGAGAGCCAATCAGTGTGATCCACCAAAGGAACAGAAAGAAGTATGAAAACCATGATCACCTCAACTCATGCAGAAAAAAACTGGGCAAATTCCAACTTTGATGATTTTTAAAAAACCAAACAAACTGATAAAAGGCACATGGGGAAAACCACAGCTGACATCATGCTCAGAAGTAAAAGACTAACATTTGCCCTAATATCAGGAATAGGAGAGAGATGGCCTGCATCACCACTGCTGCTCAGCATTGTACTGGAAGTACAGATTCCAGAGCAGTTAGACAAGAAAATGAAATAACCAATGTCCAAAGCAGAAAGAAAGATGTAAAGTGATTTCCATAAGACAACTCCATATGTATGATCCACAGAATCCACAGGAAAACTACTAGAGCTAATAAATTCAGCAAAAGTTTGGGGCCCAGATCACTGTTTACACACACCAGCAATGAACCAATCTGAAGGGGAATTAAGAACACACTTCTATTTACATTAGCGTCAGTGGTAGGGGGAAGTCCCAGGAATAATTTTAATCAAGAAGATATAAAACTTATTCACCAAAGACTGCAAAACATTGTTAAAAAAGATCAAAGCAAGCAAGAAAACAGAAGACATCCTGTGTTCACAACTTGGAGGACTTAATGTTCTTAAGATGCCCAAACTATACAAAATGGCTACAGATTCAGTGCAATTTCTATCGAAATTTCAGTGGCATTTTTTTGCAGAACCTAAAAGGTTCATCCTTAAATTCATGTGGAATTACAAAGGGCCCTGAATGGCCAGTCTTGGAGAACAGAGTTGGAGGATTTACGTGACTCGGTTTCAGGCTTACTACAAAACTGCAGTAGTCAAAATTGTTTGGTCCTGTCATGAAGATGGAATTGACTATCCAGAAATAAATCCATACATCTGTGGCCAGTTGCTTTTTAGCAGGGATGATAAGATCTTCCAGTCTATGAGGAAAGATAGCCCTTCAATACATGGCACTGTAACAAGTAACCCAACATCCCAGAGTTGGAACCAGGCACAGCAGTGCACACCTGTGATCCTGGCAACTCAGGAGGCTGAGCAGGAAGATCACAAGTTCAAGGGAAAGTTTTATTTTGTTTTTTAATTTTGTTAATTTTTTAGTTGTTGATGGATTTTTATTTATTTATATGTGGTGCTGAGACTCAAACCCAATGCCTCGCACATGCTAGGCAAGCCCTGTACCACTGAGCTACAACCCCAGCCCAAGGCAAAGTTTGATCACAAGTTTTGAGTCTCAATTTTTCAAAAAGGGTGGGGGAACTTGGGCTGTATCTCAATGGTAAAGCACCTCTGGGTTCAATCCCCAGTACAAAAAAAAAAAAAAAAAATGAAGCTGGATTCCTACCAGTGCTGTATACAGAAATTAATTGAAATGAATCAAAGATATTAAGAGCTTAGAAAGCATCAAAGTCTTGGAAGGAAATAGGAGCAAATCTTCATAACCCTGCATTTGGCAATGGATTCATTAGAACATCAAAGGCACAAGCAACAAAAGAAAAATAAATGAATTTGACTTGATCAATCAAAGGACATTATCAAGAAAGTGCAAAGACATCCTACATAATGGGGGCAAATCTTTGTAAATCATGTTATGTGATAAAGGTCTAGTACTGGAATATATTAAAGAAGTCTTACAATCCAACAACAAAACAACACACCTTAAAAATGGACAAGGAGCCAGGTGTGGTGGCACATGCCTGTAATCCCAGCAACTTGTGAGGTTGAGGCAGGTTTGCAAGTCCAAGACCAGCCTCAGCAACTTGCAAGATTCTGTCTCAAAATACATTTTGAAAAATGGGCTAGGGAAGTAGCTCAGTAGTAGAGCAACCCTTGGTTCTATCCCCATTACCGGAGCAGGCAATGGGTTTGGAGGGCTGTGGGTAGGCAAAAGACTGACTGCAAATAAATGACTAACAAATGAAAAGAGGCTTAACATCATTAGTCACTAAAGAACTGCAAATCAAAACCAGAATCAGATTGCCACTGGAGTGTCTGTCCACAATAAAAATAAAAATTAAAAAAAAAAAAAGACATTGCTCTGTAATGAAGGGTGGGTGGTTGCATAGAACTGTGAACGTGCTAAATGCCACCAAGTTGCTTACTATAGAATAGTTAACTTCCGTAGTGTGAGTTCCATCCTAATAAATCATGAAATGGAAACAGAATCCCCTGTAAGAGGTGGGCATAGTGGAGCCACCTGAATGTGAGGTGTTTCTTTGGGGTCTGTACCACAGGTGGGCTGGCCTTGCACTGAGATGGCTGCTACACCCCATGATTTGTGACAGGTGACAGTCATGTGGGATCCCAGGAGTGTGGTCATGGCTAACGGACTCGAAGCCATGTTGCACACATCTGAAAGCCATTATTCAAACACCATTCACAGAAAGGTATTGTCTCCCAAAGGAAATACTGTCAGATGATTTTGTGCTAGAAGGGCTGACTCCCAGTACATAAGAATGTAGTGCAGGCAACTGTTTACTGTCAGATCTTTTCCTTTGCCTTTAAACATAAGTTTTAGTAATATTTCCTAGATTTTCCTAAATGGAAACTATTTTTCTGATTTTTATATTTCCTTTTTAAAGAACTTTTTATCATTCTTTGCTACAGTTTGCAGGTTGCAAAGATGAAGTACATCGAATTTAATAAGTCCATAAAGTGATCTTCTACCATTCACAGAATTCATTTTTGATTCCTGTCTCAATAAAACTGATTTAAACCATGACTCAGGCTAGAAAGCCCTATTGTCACACCAGTGACATTCAGTCAGGACACCAGATTCCGCTGGCAGACTGTATTTTATGGCTAGCAGGCTTATACTGGTTTTGAGTGTTTTTAAGGGTTGTTTTTTTTTTTTTTTTTTAAAAACAAAGATCATTTGACAAGCCAAGCAACCAAAAAGCTTCAGATAGGTTCTCTCTGACCTGTACAGAAAATCATTACTGACTGCTGTTTCTAGACCCCATGGAGCCTGGGTTCCTGCAGTCTGTGTGGAATATGACACAAAGGGCAGCAGGAAGGAAAGAGGCACCACTGTCCCTGTAGGCATAGGTAGCAGTTCCATGGGTGTACTGCATCCTGCAGGGGCACTGTGGCTGAGAGTGCCTGTGAGAAGCATGAAGCCTCACCATAGACACATGAGTGCAGCAGGCAGCAGCTGGGCCTGTGAGGGCTGGCCATGTGGCCAGATCAGTCTGCAGTGATGCCATTGGCAGCTCCTGGGCACAGATATGTCCATGCTGGAAGCAAGTTCTGGATGTCACAGATAGAATAGGGAGAAGCACTGAGAGAACAGGACAAAGGTACCATTAGGCCAAGGAGGCAGCACAGGGCACTGGAAGGGTACCCCTCACCACCAAGCATCAGTGACTGCAGCTGGCCGTCCTATGTCAGGGAGTGGTCCAGGCAGTATAGGAGACAGCAGGGACAGGTGATGAAGAGAAGGGGGTTGGCATACATACAGTGGTCAGGGAAAGGCTGTCTAGCAAGGTGTGTTTGAGTAGAGGCCAGCAGGAAGGCCACATGGAGAGTGTTCCAGGCAGGGTGAGCACCATAACTTGGAACTGGCTTTGCTTCTTATAAAGGAACAGGCTGCTGCTCATCTGAAGCAGGCTTTATCTCCCATGCTGGTGAATCCTGAGACCAAGCCTGAATGCCACAAGCTGGCACTGAGAGAACAAAAGATGGGCCTAAGAGGTTTTTGGTATGAAGAAAAAAGGTAAAGTGTGTAACAGTGTAAGAAAGCATGTGATTTTCCTTGTATGATTGGGAGGGCACCTGAATTGAGGCATATTCCCAATTAGAGCTCACTGACCTTGCTGATGGCCTACTATGGGTGTGACAGGAAGTGGGAGCCAAAAGCCACCCCGAGTCTTGACCTGAGCCAGTGTGCAGGCTGGTGCATTCTTGAAATGTGGATCCTAGGGAGGGTGGGTTCCCTCCCTCCCTCCCTTCCTTCCTTCCTTCCTTTCTTTTTAATAATGTTATTGTATTATTTTATTTATTTATAAACCCAATGCCTCATACATGCTAGGCAAGCACTCTACCACTGAGCTATATCCACAGCCCCGAGGGTGGGATCCTGATCATCCTTAGCTCCCCTGCAGCCTTGTGACCTCAGCTCTTACAGCCTCTCCCTGGGCTTTTTGCAAGACCAGGGGCTGCTGCTGGCAGTGGGATCTCTGCTTTCTTCACCAGCTCCTCCATAGAGGTGAGGTCAGCAGCTCTGCAGACCCATCTGTGTCTGCTGTTCCTGTCACTGTGGTTCCTTATATAACTTCAGTGTTTGTTGTTTCAGATTGTGGTATTAGGACAGAGGACAAGGAGTTTCACCCAAAGGAAGACGTTTTGGAGGATTTGGAATCACAGGCAGAAATGTCAGAAGACTGTGCTGGTGATATTTCCCAGGTATCTGAGCTTGGAGGACTTTGTGATGACATATTAGCCAGAGACTGGGGTGTCCCTGAAGGCAAGAGCCTGGGGCAGTCCACACACCGGGATGGAGATTTGATGTCAGTAACAGTGCTCCTTAAGGGCCCTTTAGGGGAGAAACGTCTGGACTGCAGTGGTGTTGACCAAAGCTTCAATCTGAGCCCCAGCCAGATGACACATCAGGAAGTCCCTACAAAAGAGAAGCTGCATCCAGATGACACATGTGGCCAGAGCTTTCAACACAGTGTGTACCTAAGTGGCCATGAGGGGCTTCCCATAGCTGAAAGCCCACTCATATGTAATGGGTGTGGAAAAACCTTCAGTGGCAACCTTGACCTTATTCAGCATCAGATAAACAGCACTGGAGAGAAGTCCTGTGAGTGCAGTGAATGTGGAACACCCTTCAGTCAGAACTCGGTTGTTAAAAAACCCCATCGAGCTCACTTGAATATGAAAGCCTACCAGGGGCACACAGGCCCTGCTGGGTGTCAGGGTCTCCCCAGCAGTGAGAAGCTGTGTGTGTGTAATGAATGTGGGAGAGCCTTCAGCCAGAACGCAAGCCTTAAAAAGCACCAAAAGTCTCACATGAATGAGAAGCCCTATGAATGCAACGAATGTGGGAAGGCTTTCAGGCGCAGCTCCAACCTCATTCAGCATCAAAGAATTCATTCAGGGGAGAAACCATATGTGTGTGAGGAATGTGGTAAGGCCTTCAGGCGGAGCTCAAATCTCATTAAACACCACAGGGTTCACACGGGTGAGAAGCCTTTCGAGTGTAAGGAGTGTGGGAAGGCCTTCAGCCAGAGCGCACACCTCAGGAAGCACCAGAGGGTTCACACTGGAGAAAAGCCCTATGAATGTAACGATTGTGGCAAACCCTTCAGTCGTGTCTCCAACCTCATTAAGCATCACAGGGTTCACACTGGAGAGAAGCCTTACAAGTGCAGCGACTGTGGGAAAGCCTTTAGTCAGAGTTCCAGCCTTATTCAGCACCGACGAGTTCACACTGGAGAGAAACCTCACGTGTGCAGCGTGTGTGGAAAAGCTTTCAGTTATAGCTCAGTGCTCAGGAAGCACCAGATAATCCACACAGGAGAGAAGCCGTATGGATGTGGTATCTGTGGAAAGGCCTTCAGCCACAGCTCAGCCCTCATCCAGCATCAGGGCGTGCACACTGGCGACAAGCCCTACGAGTGCCGCGAATGTGGGAAGACCTTTGGTCGCAGCTCCAACCTCATCCTTCACCAGCGAGTCCACACTGGAGAGAAACCCTATGAATGCACTGAGTGTGGAAAGACCTTTAGCCAGAGCTCAACCCTTATTCAGCACCAGAGGATTCATAATGGGTTGAAACCCCATGAATGTAACCAGTGTGGTAAGGCCTTCAACCGAAGCTCCAATCTCATTCACCACCAGAAAGTTCACACTGGAGAGAAGCCCTATACGTGTGTTGAGTGTGGTAAGGGCTTCAGCCAGAGCTCACACCTTATTCAGCATCAGATAATCCACACTGGTGAGAGGCCGTATAAATGCAGTGAGTGTGGGAAGGCCTTCAGTCAGCGTTCAGTTCTGATCCAACACCAGAGGATTCACACTGGGGTGAAGCCCTACAACTGCGCTACTTGTGGGAAAGCCTTCAGCCAGCGGTCAAAGCTGATTAAACACCAGTTGATTCATACCAGGGAGTAACTTGTGGGCTAAAAGGAGTAAAACTGAACCATGGTTCCTTTCTGACACCTATGGATCCTTGTTTCAGCCTCTCCCTTCCCAGGCCTGAGGCTCACTCACTGCCCTCCACTCCATACAAAGCCTGGAGCCCTCCTTGGAAACACTCTTTCCAGACTCCCTCCCCTTCCATTGCTTTCAGATCCTGTGACCTCTCGTCTATGTTTTTTCTGTTTTATTTTTATTATGAGCAGACTGTCACATTGGTTAGGTGGCAAAGAACATGAGGGCCACATATTCATGAATGAAGTTTATCATGATGATGAAAATTACCAAAAAGTAAAGTGATCTTTGATTGGAGATAACCACAGTAACTCTTTTGTTAGTCATGGGAGTGAGTTCTCTGTCAGTGACTGACTCACTCTCTCTCTCTCTCTATATATATATATATACACATACATACACACACACACACACACACACGCATATATACATACATATATATACACACACATATTTTTTAATATGACATCAAGTGGAGGGAGTTTTCAGGTCTCATTGCTCTCTTATTGTCCCCAGAGGTGGTATGCCAATTATTTATTCTTCTATCCCTCCCTTTCTGCAACTTGTACCCAGACCCCCACTGCCTTGCTTCCCTGTGCATACCTGTGGTCAGTTAGTCATCCTCCTTGCTGCTGTGCTATGACCCAGGTCCCAGCCTCTGGTTTCTGTGCCTCCAGTGCTGGACCCACAATGGCAGCTCTCTCTTTGTACCTCCTTTTCCAGTGAGGAAGCTTCCAGGATCAATCTTCTCCCAGATCAGTCTTCATCACCAGACATCTTTTAAGCAAGTACCAGGTGCCCTGCCCTAGGGCCCACCTCCTCAGTGTCCCCTATGCCCTGAAAAGGAGACAGGTTAGGTGCAACATAGATGTTACAAGAGAGGCCTCTGAACTCCAGCCAGCAAGTTGCAACAACAGAGTGTCGCAGGACCCAGACAGAATCTGACCCACCACCTGTCAGTAAATAAAAGTTCTGTTGGGGTACAGCCATGCCTATTTGCTTACACATATCTACAGCAGCTTCTGTGTGGCAGAGTTGAGTAGTTGTAGACATCATATGGCCCACCAAACCAGAGTGTTTACTTTCTAGCCTTTACAGAAGAAGTGTGCAACCTGGCTTTAGGCAGCTACCCTGTGGTAGGTGACTCTCAGGGCCAGGCTTTGCCAGAGGCTCACAGTTGTTGTAGGAATCAAGGTATGATGTCTTGATCAGGAGTATAGTTTGTGCTGTGCAGTGGTTTCCCGTGTACAGTGGATGGTTCCTGAGCAGTTGCCACAGCCTCTGAGGATCCCTCCCTTCTCACCTCTTCCTAACACTGTTCCTCAGGAGGAACATGCAGCCTAGCATGGACCTGAGTTCTTGCTTCAGTCAGTTTTGTGAGAACTAAACATCCTGGTCGTGGCAGCCTTGGTTAGATATTACCATTCATAGAATATTAGAATCTCAGAATCACTAGGAGAGCTAAAGAAACAGGTTTGGGGCCAACTTCAGGAAAGATTCCAGAACCATCTGTGCAGCAGCCCTGCAACTTGTAGCTGTTCTGTACTTGGGATTCCTAGGTGTCTACAAGAATCTAAGTGGAGAAATAGAGAGCTTTTTTAAGAGAGAATTTTTTTAATATTTATTTTTAGTTTTTGGTGGACACAACATCTTTATTTTATTTTTATGTGGTGCTGAGGATCAAACCCAGAGCCCCGCGCATGCCAGGCGCTACCTCTTGAGCCACATCCCCAGCCCCATCACTGGCATTTTTTAAGATGTGGGACTAGGAATGTAGCTTAGTGGTAGAGCTTTTGCTTAACATGTCTGGGGCCCTGAGTTCAGTTCCAAGCACTGCCAAAATTAATAATAAAATGGGATATGAATCTCTGGAAAAGCATGAGATAATTAGGGAGAGGATTAGGAAGGGAACTCGGGACAGAGGATTGATACTCCCAACACTGAGCATTGGCTAGTGAAAAGGTGGGTCTTGAGACACCCAGCATTAAATATTGTTGCAGGAGGAGCAACACACCACCTGTGGGGAAGAGGGACGCAAGTGACCAGGAGGGGTTACCACATCAAATGCTGTGGTGAAGAGATGTGGCTGCCCAAAGACCTGCTTCGTTGGAGTAGGAGGGCAGGAAGGAGCCAGGCAGTGTGAGGCTGGTGGAAGTGGAAGGAAGAATGAATTAAGCCCTTCCAAAGCCAAGAGGGGTAAGTTTTGAACAGTCAGAGGCTTCTGCATTGCTCCAGGTACAGAGAAAATGGACAATATAGTTAGTTTTGTAGGTATGGTGGGAAGGTGAGGTTCCAGGTCAGAAGAGGCAAGATCATCCACTAAAAATGGGGATAGGGAAGTTGTGGACAATGTGAAGAAAAGAAAAGGAAGAGTTGGCTAGGAGTAGGGAAGGTCTGGACTTGAGCTGGATGGGCTGTGCCCCAAGTCTCAACCCAAAAGCAACATCTGCACTCTGCTCTAAGGTTTCACCTCCACCTCCACCGCCACACCCTTACCCAAGGCAAATCCCTGCAGAGAAACAGCCACCTCTGGAGTTTTGAGATCACTCCCTGCAGCATAGAAAGAAAAGGAAGGCCTACTTTTTTTTTTTTTTTTTTTTTAAATTTTAGGATATTTTTCTCAAAAGACCCTAAATACTTAATTCCTGGAATATCATGGTAGGAAACAAGTTGGGGAAAGCCTTTCTCATAGCAGTTGACTGGAGGACCCCCGTCTTGCCGCTATCCTGCTTTCTCTGCCCTGGCTACTGCCTGTGTCCAGATGGCACTTACAAAAAGGGCTCAGGCCACTCTCTGCCCTTGGTCAGCTCCATGTGTGACCTGGGGGGTTCTGGCTGCTGCAGGGATCGCCAGCATCCCTGTCCACCTCATGCAGGGTGGGGCCACCAATGAGGACAGCACTAAGGTGGCAGGCACATGAAAGCATGACAATCCTGATTTTAAAGGTGGCTCCCCAGGCTGGCACATGAGAGGCACTGGGTTCAATCCTCAGCACCACATAAAAAATAAATAAATAAATAAAACAAAGGTATTGTGTCCATCTACAACTAAAAAAAAAAAAAAAAAAAATTTAAAGGTGGCTTCCCCAGTTTATTTTTTTTTAATTTTAAAATCGGCATCATTGTACAAAATGCAAATTGAGAAAAGCAGAAAAGATATCACACATAATTCCACCACTTAAATTCTCTAGCACTTCCAGAGCTAAGGAGGCATGATGTTTACTGAGCTCCCAAGACCATTTTGGCAAGAGCATGCAACGCCTAAGCAAGTCTATGAACAGGAAAACATGCAGTGAGGAGGGAGTACAGCAAAGACCAGATGCCTCTCAAACCGTGTGACAAGCAATGTGGGTTCACTTATTGTTTGAATGGAATCAGTTTGAGCCTTACCCCTCCATATTCCCTGCAAAGAAGTTCAAATACCTCAAGCCCCTGCCTGCACATGGGGACTCGACCCCAACCCCTCTCTCTGACCATAATCAGATCCAAGTCAGTCCCCATTACACAAAATTTACATACCTCCTAGGTATGTAAGCAGCATCCATCATCAGTCTCAAATTTTCCAGTGGGAGTCCATTTGCCTCTGCAGGTAACCATGAGGATTGTCACTGAGAGCAGGGTATTAGACAACTCCCATCTGCTTCTCAGGTGACCACAGGGTGAGCAGGGTGTTAGAGGACAGCCACCACCTCCCCATGGGGTGTCTGAGAGCTTGGCCACCCCTTCTCATAACAGGGGCTGGTGATGACTGATTCTTGCACTCTGAGCTCCAGGTAAGTAGTCCAGCTGAGATGCAGCCAGTTAGGTAGTGCCCCATGCTCTCACAGACCAGGATATACATTTATAACTAATTTTGAAGGTTACTTTTTTTTGGTACTGCAGATTGAAACCCGGGGTGCTCAACCACCAAGCCACATTGCCAGCCCTTTTATATTTATCTATATGTGTGTATATACATATACATACATACATATATATTTTTTTTTAATTTAGAGACAGGGTCTCACTAAGTTGCTCAGGGCCTTGCTAAGTTGCTGAGGCTGGCTTTGAACTTGCAATCCTCCTGCCTCAGCCTCCCAAGCCATTGGGCTTACAGGCATATGCTACCACACCTGGCTTGAAGGTTGCTCTTTAAAATATCTCTCTCTGGGGTCTGGGTTTTGGCTCAGTGGCAAAGTGCTTGCCTTGAACATGTCAGGCACTGGGTTCAATCCTCAGCACCATATAAAAATAAATAAACAACATAAAGATACTGTGTCCCTCTATAACTAAAATACTAAATAAATAAAAACATTTCTCTCTAGTGTCAAATTGATTACTTAAATATAAGTTCTCATTTTACACGCAAAAAAGACTATCATAAGAGTTTTTGTTTCAATTTTTAATCTTAAACAATTGGTAAGTTAGGGTGTTTAAAATAAGGGTTCTTTTTTCAGTACTGGAACTGAACTCAGGGTCAAGCATATGCTGGGCAATTGCTCTACCACTGAACTATATCCCCAGTGCATATGAGTGTTTGTCTCTTTTTT